GACAAACATCACCAACCCCTTTGCCGCAAGCCAGCTTTTACCCACCGGAAATGAAGTTGGCAGTTCTAGTCAACGCCAACTATTGGCTCCGGCGAGGCTGGGAAATTCAAGTCAAAGCCACGTTGACTTTGGATCGAACTCACCCCATCTGCTGATTTAACGCCAACGCTACCGTCGTAGTGACACCGTTTGTGTCCTCCCAGGGCTTGACCTGACGAAAACATTCTGTGACAGATGGAACATGTATGGGTCTTGCTACTTGGATTAACCGATGCCCCGTCCGAAGGCGTTGTTGAGACGTTGGTGCGTTGTAATTCGTCAGTTCCGATGAGTTTCCGGTGACTGGCCTTGTGTCCTCCCAGGGCTTGATAAGATGGAAAGCTTTTATCACAAAGAGAGCACCTGAAACCGAGCTCAACGATCGGCGGAGGCTTTTTGATTGCTTCAGTGGAGGTGGTGCCTTGAGCGAGCATGAGGAGGCAGAGAGCTAGGTACTCTTCTTCCGTTGGTGGGTTTTCGGTACGAGGACGTTTGGTGCGCTTTCTCTTTCCCCACAGCTCAAGATCGTTGGGGTCTATATCGTCGTGTTGTAGCAGAGGAGGAGCTGAGCTCGGAGAATTCAACGCTTCGAGAGCCATCAGATCAAGGACAGAGACAAGAAGAATTTTCCTATGTTTGTATGGACTGAGTGTGCAGGGAAAACAGGGGAGAAGATTTTTATGTAGAGAGGAGTAGAGGTGGAAGGAGCAGAGCAAATACCAGGCTAAAGTCGTTGGGAGTGGAGTATGGGCAATGCAAGTAAACGGCATTAATGGATTAAGTAAAATGAATGGAAGTCAAAATTAACCGTTATCAAAATTTGCTCGGTTATGTGTTTTTAAGTTTAAATTTCACTGTCAGTGATCCTTATAGATAAAGCCAGAGCCAATGGCGTAATGTTAACTTTTACCTATCTTAAGAATATAGTGTATGAGAAAAGCATTTTAGTTTATAGATCAAATATCTAAATGTAAAAATTTTCTCCCTTTATGGGTAAGACTTTAAATTTGTGTAATTTTTTTTTTCATTCATTTTTTTCATAAATTGAATTATTTGTCCTATTATATATATATAAAAAGAAAGTATGACACATTACATATTAATTTAGTGTTTTTTTTTTCGAACTGATTATAAATTTAGAAACAAAGAGATTCAAATTCAAACTCTATAATTAAAAGATATACCTTATAGTATAGCATATAATCATCGACTTACAAGACCCATGTGTAATTTAGTATATTTATTTAAACTATGACTTTAATACTTAAATTATTAATTTAACTTAATAAGTAATATTTATTTAATTAGTAATAGATTCACTTTGGGGTTTAGTGGGTAATGTGGTAGGTAATATGTTAAGGTTTAGGAGTTTCTTGACTTTGTCTCAGCACGTGGAAAATCGGGTGGCAGCTTCCTTGGCTAGTGTTCAGGAAATTAGTTGGATGCTTTTGGTGAGCCCACGTATCGCAGGAGGATTCACATGGTGAGTGGCTGCATTCACACGAAATTGGGCATATGGTTAGGTGGCTCCACCAGGACCATCATCCGTCACTCCATTAGGCAGTTGGACACAGCCCAGTAGCCCATCCCCAAAGAATTGTCTTCGTTCCAGCCACGTATTTCCAGCACACAATACTCGGATATTCTCTTGCTTACCTAATAAGCTCTTCAAGAGAAAATAAATATTGTTTTTACTGAAATTTCACCAAATGGTCTGATGGTCACGTGCTTTATTAAGGTTGATGGATTGTTCACTAGATCTAAAAATTGAATCTCTAATTGTTAACATCTAACAATATTAACCTACTAATTATTGTCCTTATCAAAAAAACATATATATATATATATTGTTGTTACTAGTTAGAGACTTTAATCCGACGTTGGAAAAGAAGAGGAAATTTTCATATTTCTGCATGCCAAGCCGGTCCTTAATAACGTTGTTATGTGCTCCATTAAAATATGTTCTCATATTGTTCTTGGGCCAATATATATATATGGTTGTTAATTTTGTCCATTTTAGTGCATACTTTTATGTTTTGAAGTACTTTTTTTTTATTACACCTCATATATCAAAAAATCATATTAAATTTTAATTAGTTTGAAATCAAATTAAATCATAATTTCATAAATAAAAAAAATCTTTTAACGTCTATTTCTTTATTTATAATATTCAGATTTAAAATTTTATTTAAAATAAATCAAAAATTTTTTATTTAAACCAACAAATTTTCGGTGTAAATTACACATTCTTTTATACTTTGTCTAATGTTCATTTTAAGCATATAGGTAAAGAGACACATATGGTCTTCCTAATAAGTTAACCATTTCCTATAGTTTGTCACGATATTCCAGCCTGCACAGCCAACTACTAGTTATGGTGACACCACAATTGAGGCTTTGTTTTGGAGGATAACAATTATAATTTTGAATGTGATATTCTTCTACACCCTCTTCCTCTGGTTGTGGCAAATGATTCATTGGATTTCCAAATTCCTTAGTTGATTTAATAGCTCTGTTAAAACTGTTTTCTGGGTTTTCCAAGCCGTATCCATTTAGGGACTTCTGAATCCTACTGTTGAATTAATGCTTGTTGATATCTGATGTGCGTGCCGCAGTTTTTCCAAACGGAGAGGCTTGGAAGCCAATATTTAAATAAAAAATGAACAACTTCGGCTAACAAATCAGAGTGGCGCAGCGGAAGCGTGGTGGGCCCATAACCCACAGGTCCCAGGATCGAAACCTGGCTCTGATATTAGAGTGGCTTCCGATTACTATTTTTTATTTGAACTTTTCACGAAAGTTGAAACACATGCAAATATACAACGCTAGTGTTTCCTTCATTTTTAGGGCTATGAGAACATAAATTCATTTGTAGGCATCATGAATTCCAAATCCTCAAGAAAAACTGTTGTTTGTTCATTTATTTATGTCATTCAAACCTACATATCTGCAAAATCCCATAGCTAAAAGATGAAGAATAAAAGCAACTGATCAATTAAACCAAAAGTATGTATCTCTGCATACAAGTAAAAAGCTAGTACTGAATTCTCTCTTTTTATCATATTAGGGAAAAGCAAAATTTCCAATCCTACTTCCTAAATGCAATCCACCTCTAAAGTAATCACTCTGAATAAAATGACAAGTAAACAGGTTTACCTTGCAATCAGAGCACACAAATCTTAGTACCTTGCAGCAAAAACAAAAGCCCCTCCGTTTTCCATTGCATTGATTCACTTCAATTACCTTCAGCTTAGAACAAACCTACAATGCAGAAAACCTGCAATAATCATTCAATTTTCTACACACTGGGTCAAAACATTCAATTTGACAAGACAAAAGACATTAAGGACCAAAATCAAATTCTTTTAACTCAAAATTGTTGGGAACATGGTATAAAAATTGAAAGAGAGTGATGAGATTTACTTGGGTTAGCATTGATGATCATAGCATTGCCCCTAAAACTGCAAGTTCTTTCATTTCTCTTGGTTTTCTGCCAATAGCTATTGGAAGCATAGGAACATGAGCAACAACAGTGTCAGGGTCGAAACAGCTCCCATTTGGCATAATCTCTTGACAATCAGCACCACACTCACCACAGGCATGGTCCATTGCCTCTTGTGGGGTCTCTGCAGGAACACTAGGTTTAGTCACACACCATAGCTTCTGCATCATCTCCATCTCCAGCGCAGGTGCCGTGGTAACAGCTGGATTACAAGGTGGCAAAGAAAATTCAAAAGGTGGCCTTGCGGGTGCAAATACCAGAGGCAGCCTTGGTGCAGTGGGAGAGGGGCAGAGGCGGTGGAGAAGAGACAGGGAGGGAAAGGGGAGGTGGGGGATGAGGGGTTCGGCCTGCGTTGGCTGACACGGAGAATTCAACGGAGGAATGGATGGAAGAAGGAGAGATTTCAGCTAATGGACTTGGCCTAGCTGGCTCAACAGATCCAAACTTTTTGATGAAATCTTGGAACTCGAGCTTCCCTCCAAAAAGGAGAGAAACGTGGAGGAAGATGGACGGAGTAGGAAGAACACCAGAAAGCTCCAACAGAGGTTTGATGATTTTCTCTCCCAAATCATCCCTTAAACATTCTGAATCCAACGCAGCAGAGACTTTGATGTTATTCTCCAAACCCCATCTGTTAAGAGATTGATAAACGTTCTTCAGAGACGTTAGAACAAGACCCAAGTTTTGTTCTTGGTCCTTTTGGCAGAGACTAGCATTTTCCCCCCACAACAATAGTGGTGATTTTGGTAGAAGGAGAGTGAGCCAGAACATGGGGTTCTGAGCCAAACTCTGAAGTATCAAATTCCCTTCTTCTTCTTCTTCTGTCCTTTTTGTAGCTTGTTTTATATTTTGGATGTTCTAATCTTTTTATTTTTTATTTTTTATCAACTAGTGCCATACATGCCAAAAATGTAGCTAAACAACTGACGTGTGTGTATGTGCGTGTATATATACATATTAAATCTTAAAGCATATGCAGATAAAACCCATTAAGTAAAAAGAATCAATTATAATGTCATTGAGACTCCTTAACCTCTAGTTAAATTATTTCAAAAACTTACCATACATGAACATTGAAGAAAATGGAAAGGGTAGCCTTTAAGTCTACATCCCTCTGTTCCAATTATTACAATAGTGGAAATTACTACTATCAATCATGTAGCATTTCCAGAACAAGTTCCAGCCAGTATCACTTCTCCAATCTCAATCTTCCTTGGAGCCAGAAGGATGAGGTCTTGAGAGAAGTGACCCCTCCCCCTCCTTAATTTAATACCAGAGGACAAAAACCGATGTTTTCTCTATGAATATATAGGTAAAGTGAATATACATGTAAAGGTGGTCTAAGAAAAAAAGACCTTGCTTTCATCAAAAGCTGGAATTCCCCGATAAAAAGAATGGTCCTCCTCCAATTCTCTTTGTTCTCAATACCTTTTTCACCAGTATTTTCCACTTCATCTCATCCTTCTTGTTCTGTTTCCTAATCTTCTCCCTAAAATTCCTGTAATCATGAGCTATTACAATTTCTGGGTGCAAAACATGAAAGAGAAGATTTTAGAAGAAGAAAGGAAATAAGGCCTACCCACACAAAGGAACCCTGCAATTATTGGAATCAGCACAAAGACGGGAATGCAATTCCAGAAGCTGCCACATTCTCTTGCAATGGATGCAGCCCCCGGGAACCCTCAGCCTGCAACCATTGAAATGTCTCACAAGTGATTCTATTCCCTTGCAAGCTGTGTATTTGCAAGGTGTCTGGTTCTCTTTCAAGTCTTTGTCATGGGGGCCAATTGTCCTGCACCCATCTCTGCAGATATGAACAAGTGCCTCCATTGCCTCGTATAGTTCTAAGTAAATCTTCTGCTCATCCAATTTTCTGATCCTTGCCTTTTTCCCCTGAGAATCACAATTAATCATGACTTCAGAATTCAAGTAAAATGTCAAGATGAGGGACAAAGAGAGAAAGAGAATCCTAACATTTTCTTCTTCAATGACGGATAATTGAAGTTCTTTCTCAAGCACTGGATGGCTCTTCTTCATCACTTTCCAGCCTTCCGTTGAAGAAACAGCTTTGAAGTCTTGAAGCATCATCCGGTGACACATTAAGCTAAGCCGAGGAGCATTGCACAGTAATGAAAGCTGAAAGACGTCAACTACATTTTCTAAGGTAAGCAAACCCTGCTCTAGCTGCTGCTCGCAAAGTCTCTTCAATTGAGGAACAACATATACTTGTGAGAGCACCAATAAATGCAAGACAAATTCCCTCATTTCTTCTTTCTCATAACTACACATTAAACACCGGCAACATTTTAGCTTGTGGATGGAGAAAAATGAATCTCAATTGAAACCCTTCACATCATTATTATATTCCAACAGTGAAAGAAGATGTAGTTACCACGAAGAATACAAAAACCGAATAAAAACTCGAACTGCGTCCCGTGGAACACCTCGGATAGATATTGATTTTCTCCGGCCAAGGCCTGTGGATTGCTTTAACAAGCCTTTTAGTATAGGAGAAGCCATGCCCTGATACCAAACACACAATATTTTATTGTTTTGATGTAATCTTCAAACAAACCTCAAATGATTGACAAAAATGAAGAGGCTTACAAGAATATTGGCATGAGCGAAGATAACCCCACCATTATCAGTATAAACAGCAACGTCTGCTCTGTAGCCTCCATCAAAGAGAGCATCCCACAAGTTCCTCGTGGATGTAGAGACACAGCAATGCCCTCTCAGTGGAGACTCATTTATCATTAACCCCAGCCGGTGATAAATGGGCGTTGCCGGACCAGGCAAAGGAGGTGGTACCGGCGGGGCAACAGGAGGAAATTGCTTACCAACAATGTCCGTCCTTTCCATTAGCTTCTTAAATGGAAAAAAAAAAAAAAAAAACGGAAATTAAAATAACTGAGATGATATTGAGCATCAAGAAAACACAGATTAAGAACATCAATTCATACAATTAGAAAACGAAGAACAAAATTCCAATTCCTTTTCATAATTTTCATCCTCATCTAATTCAATTTTTCTTGTGAAATGCTGAAAGTAAAAATAAAAATAAAATCTGAGAAAAGAAATGCGAGAATCAGATCCAAAAACCAAGTGATCGACATCCAGACGATCTCCATTGAACCCTGATGATTTTGCGAAATAGAAATATAATTGAAGAAAAATTCAATCACGAACCTTTTCCTCGGCCATTGTTTGTACTTCTTTCACAATGAGAGCTGAAGACAATCAGTAATTTCCGGCTTCAAGAAGTCCCCAACAACCTCCCCGAATTCCGGTGCCGGAATTCAGAAACGGGAGGGTGGGGGACGGGGGCGGAGCACTCAGCAACTCTTGAGATCACGCCTGACTCCAATCAAAATAAATGTCTACTCGCCGCTGTTTTGACGAATCAGGCGGCCAGAAAAATCGTGAAATAAATAAGTAAAAGAAATTGAGAGGAGAGGAGGATTTAATCGCATGAAAGGAGTCGGTTTTTGTACACAACCGGCGGGCGCGTGTTCATATCAAAAATATTAGATATAAACAAAATCACCCATCCTTTAATTGTTCTATTTTTCTTCGTTTAAAAATTTGTTATCTTATTGAAGCAAGGAGATTAGTTGTTCTATTTTCTATATGACTCTTTTACTTGATTAGTCTAAGTTCTATGTTTTTTTAGGTACAATGCCGTCTCA